TACCTGCACGTGCTACATGTACAGCCCATCTGATCTATACACGGAAGGAATGACTTATCTTTCCGTAATGTCATATCGCTTCACGGTCCCCCCCTGCGCACTTGTAGCGGCCAACCATTGCGACAGAATATTACCTCATATATTTAACCCAGAACAAGGAGGTACAAATCGATTCTTTTAACCTATATTAACTCCTAAAGATACAAAAGAATGAATCAGTCAGCAGAGACGTGAGATGTTCAAGGGTAAAACGCAGTATAATGAAGTAACAGGTTGCACAGATGGGAAAATACCCAAAACAACCACCAAAATAAGCTCACATTAGTTATTATATTGTCAACATCGTGGGTACATGCAGACTTTCATGCCAGTAACAAACAGTTTAATCAAGCTAAGTACCTAGGAACAAGATATTTTAGTAACAAGTTTGACTTTCAAAAACAGCGAATAAGTGCATTAAGAAAGGCCAGTACGTCATACGCCCTTTTATAATATTAATATTTTATGCGATCTGTTTACGAACTATACAAAGAAACTCCAAACGCCGCGATCGTATGGTTAAACTCCAGCTTTATATTCCGAATATACAAAGGGGTGGCAGGAGGCGGTACGGAACGATCAACAAGGCACAGACAAATATCTCGACGTCGCTCACGAATTCTGGAGCGGTTAGCCGCTTCTCAAATCAGAGGCCCGGGTTCGCGTTCAGGTCAGTCCGCGTAGGATTTATGGACAAAGTGGCAATGGGACAGGCATTTTTACTCGAGTCCATCAATATCGTTCCACCGCTGTTCTATAACCACACTAGTCACAGCCTTCCGACGCACAAAAGGAATAAAGCTGCCGAGTCATGAGAAACGAATCGATCAATCGATTCTTCGTTAGGTCACATTCAAGAGTAACAATTGAGCCTGGCGTATGCTGACGTTCAAGCATACCACTGACACATTTTCTCACCTGAGTAAATTGGATAGCATAAATATACAATACTGCTAAGGCCAAGGACAACAACTAGTGAATACTCAGTAATTGGCATTTAATGACTGTGAATTCATCACTTTAAGCAGACAAAGGTACTTGATCATTAAACAGGATGTTCGCACTGTTCGATGTTTCAAGAACATTCTAGATTTGAGACTACGTTCGTCCCCCGGCAAATTAAACTCCATGTTACGCTCGTTACTTATTTGACACCGTCTTAGTGCTCTAAAATACTGCAATCGCGGTTTCAAATCTTTCTCGGAGAACGGATGTTTGAACGTTTGTATGTATCTTGCAACGACATGCATCAAAAGAGTCTGTCTTAATAATGATCTAACAAATCTCTACTACAGACATATACAGATCGGGTTGCAGTACCAAGAACACGCGTATCTCGAAATGGGGCTAGTGGAACACTGTTATGCCTCCGAAAGACAAGAAAGAATGAGAACAATTTCATAATAAACACGCGTATACATAATACCGGTTTCTTTTTGGAAAACTGACAAAAAACGTTTAATAATTACTTCAAACTTTCACGTACACTAAAATATGATTGTCTTTGGTTTATATTCTCAAGTATTTAAATTTCTGCACTAAATTATTCGTTTATATAGCACTATCTTTCGAAATGATAGCGTTCTGTTTCTACTGACACAATACATTCCACAGGGTTGTTTCAGTTTTCGACGGAAACAGCTAAGAATCGCTTATTAGTAGAAATAACAATTAGATACCGAAGGACAACTCCAGACAAGTGAAAGTCGGCCATTACGAATAATAAAGAGTGTACACACAACGGTCACAGGGACATAATTTTCAACGCTTCTGATTTCAAGGTAAGTTGAATTTATTGATTTTTTGGAGCGATACTTCACTCGTATCGGGAAAACCCTGCAGCGAGTGATGCAGTTCCTGCCGAGAAGTGACAGTTGCGTTCCGGTCTAATAGTGAACGCCCAGTATACTTCGACGACTCGCCAGGAAATGTTGTTACAGAGATATTCTTTCGGAGGCGCCACGCAGTTTAACCGAAATACAAATGACGAAAATCATAAAGGTCACAGATTGGTTGTGGCATCGCTACACGCCAGATATAACGTTTGTACCACCAAGATTCGGTCTTCTAGAATTTTCTGTGTCACAAAATTAGCTGTGATGTTTTAATTCAGTCATCAGTCTCGTTCGTGAGTACGCCACGTGTGCGTAAGGTTGACATTAGCTAAGTACAGGGTACATGAACGTCAATGAAATATTTTAAAGACGTTAATACTCGCGTCGCAAACCAAAATAAACACAGTCCTTCCAGCTGACTGACTCACAAACGTAATACGCCAATATTTATTTCCTTGTGGCACGCCGTCGTTAAAGTAGGGCGACCTGCCAGCTGCCACGCGCTACAGAATATGGGTATGAAGCGTGCGACACGGAAGGCCAGCACTACAGACCCCACCAAGTTCGGTTTCTCTTACAGGATAATACAGAGATACTTCACTGTTGTGAAATAAAAATAACTCAAACAAAAATAACTGAACACGTATTTAACATTTTGGCTCCCATGCGATTTTTTGTGGGCAAAAAAATTCGTTGCGTGACCCATCAGTGAACCTCACACAACATTGGTAAACAATTTAAGAACTCTCCCAACATTTTCATGGCTCTCGCTGTACTGAAATCTATTTTCAGGTGACCCTCATGAGAGCCATCGGGTTCAACTTCAGCGGTCTGTCTACTAGCGTCGTTGTAATGCGAAGAACATTACAAACTGATATAACAGAAAAAAATATTCGAGGTAGGAAACAAACGTGTTTACTAACGGACGTTTCTTCAGTTTACTAAACGAAAAAAAAAAACTACAGACTGAAACACAAAGATAGCATAAGTGAAGGCGAAGCAGATACCGAAGATTATTGGTACAAGTGAAAGGTACTGCGATCACCTCAGAAGTACAGTATAAAAGGTCATTCATACCAAATTTCGTTAACAGTTCTTCGGACAAGCGTACTGACAGGACCACCAGAACTCTTCAGTAAAGACTTAACCTTCTGAAGCCAAAGTTCACCTGACTAATGTTTAAAAAACTCGGTTCGTACCTCAAACACAACACTTTCCCATTACAAACAGAAACTGACTGATGTTGTTTAAGAAAATAATCGACGTTTATTCTGAGAATCAAATTAAACCCATAAATATATTCTATGTTAAAATGCAGTTACTGTTTAAAAAACAGGTCGTACTTATAGTTAAGGCGGCCAGGACCCACCAAGGACTGCACCGCCAACTGACGAAGAAGAAGGTCCTTATAGTTAACAATGGAAGTTAAAGGATTAATAGGACTACACTCAAAATAATGGCTTCACAAGAATGACATTTTATAAACACGTCGTATATAAAAGTTATAAACAATCTTTGAATCCGTATATCATGTAAGTAAAGTAAAGTAAAGTTTGTCCCACTATACGCCATGTAGGCGTTTGGGGGGAGTGGAGGTATAGCTCCTATCTTCCTTGACCTCGGCACTAGATGGGGGTGAGTGGTCAGCATCATGCCCCGGCCGGCTTTACCCCCGGGAAAGGACCCCGGTACCCATTGTAGAGGAGGCTGGGTGGGCCCCAGAGCCGGTCTGGACGCAGAGGCTAGAGGAAAAATCCTCTGCCCCCGTCGGGGATCGAACCCCGGTCGTCCAGCCCGTAGCTAGTCACTATACTGACTGAGCTATCCCGGCTCATGTGTGGTTATAAAAACAGAATTTCCATTACGCGATCAATTTGTACATGGAATCCAGTAAGGGATTTCCGCTAATTTAAATTGTAAGTTAACGGAAATCTCTGGAAACCAGCTGAAAGAAGATACAGTAGGATAAATGTTTCAGTCAGTTCCAAATCTGGTGCCTCGGGACTGTACAATGTGTCCCAAAAGTCCGCGATGGTAAGAAAACTGAGTCATTTGGCAAACCACGGAAAAATATAAAGAGGCAAAGGTTGTTATGGATCGTGTGCGTCCAGTCTGAAGTGCTGGCATTTATTTAACCTACGCCGTTACGGTGCTCGTCCTTGGCAAAAAGAAAATCCAAACACCTGAGACTTGAAGCTCATGATTTGTAACAGCTTTTCCATCTTTACAATTTTCCTTTATTTTGCCAAATAACAACGTTCGCCTATGCGTTGGAACTTATGGGACACTCTACATAAGTCAGGCGCGTAAGTGCTACGCCATTCTGATCGGTAGATGGGGACAGAGAATTTTTCTGTCTTGCCCTCTATTCTTAATTTTCATGGAATTTCGACTCTTTATTTCTTCTAGGGAAGCCACATAAGTATATTGTGCAAAAGCAACATTCATTTTATCATCTGTTGCCAACTGGAGCATTTGGCATCCACTCTTAGGGTACACAAGTTCGGAGTATAAAGATATCCCAGTTGAGAAAAGTAATGTACACACTCCCACGTGTCCACGCTCTTGGATGCAGGTTCTACGAGACATCATTTATGATTCT